CGTGCTAGAATGTGCTTGATCACCACTCGGATGATTGGACCGAGTGGTTTTTGACGACTTCAACAAGCTCCAGCATGACAACGGAGACAATTGGGGCCTTAAAACATTGTGCGATATGTTCCTAGAGCATGGAAGAGTGTTTTATTTTTTGGTCAATTTTTCGGTCTATAAGGAAAGTCAGTACTCACATTTGCTCAAGGTGCGACAAGGATCATCTTCCGTCTCCAATTAAGCACTACTTCTGACTTTATTACATGTCTATGGAAGGAGCAGACATCTGTAAGTTCTGTAACATCTACATCAGCCACCATCCAAGCATTGCGGACGTCCTCGCACACATAATTAGGATATTGCAATGGGATACTATCCACGTAAGGTCATTTCGACATCTATATCATACTGTATTACCAAAATTGAACTTGACAGCTATCATTATGCGCACAGTAGTAAATACCGACACTTACATTGCGACTCCGAGCCCGTCGTCGCCGTTCCGAGCGTCGACAAACTCGTTCCGCTCACGATCGGCAGACCGATCCGAACGTTCCGGACAGTGATCGAGCGCTGCTCTCCCTTCAACCACCACCATCGAGGCATTTTTTTCCACCACCATTCAACAACGTCTTTGCGATCGGGCCCACTGACTCTCTCCTCCCCACCATCACAACTGTCAGATGGCCCACGACGGCTCGTCGCTCGACCTTGAGTTGGCGACAGCGACACTCGACTATGGGTCGGCGCCAATAGATCAGGAGACGACTTTGCGTCGTCTCGATGGATACAATGGCGCTAACGGCGAGCAAGACCAGACGGTGACCACGACCACAACAAGATGGTGACGACGACCACAACAAGATGGTGACGACGACGGCGACGATGATGCTGATGTTGGGATGAAGACGAGGATGAGGATGAGAAGGTGGAGGAGGAGAGTGATAATGAGGACGACACGTCAAGGATGATGACGCGTCGAGGCCGTCGCCACCACCACCACCATCACCCCCACCAGCACCAGCACCATCACCACGCGCAATTGCTGGGGGATGCGGGCTTGGCATGAGCGTGGGTGTACCCGCGCGGGCACTCGTCACGGCCATGTCTAGCACTGACAATAACATGGGCACTTCTTGAAGCGCGTCGCAGTGTGCTTCTTACCCCGCCAACATGGGAGTAATACCATGTGGCATACTACCTATACTGTATACTTTCGACCGGATGTTCGCCGGTCGTGATGCGTTATGCAACGAACTTATATGAACTAAGTTCGTTGCCAGGCACAGAGCCCCGATTTACCGCATTTGGACGTCCCGCCGTAGGCGGGAGCGAAATTTTTACCGTTTTGGGCCATCTGACCCTGAAATTGAGGTCCGTGATGCGTTATGGAAGGGGATAAGTTCGGTTCGGAGGCCCGCGTGACGCGTTATTCGAATATGCGGTCGAAAGTATACAGTACCATTAATTCAGTAGCTTACACACACTATGACAATGTAAATCTATTTTAAAATTTTCATGAATTTACAGAATTTATTGAATCGAAAGGGCGGTCTGACGGTGAGCGGGAGGCGGGATGACGATCGGGGTGATGGGGTCATAGTGAACAGCCGGGGTGGGCGCACCCGGACCGGGTGACGGGTGGGGGTGCATGCGGGTGCGGGTCGGGGTGCTGATCCGAGAACCCGCCGTGACCCGCGTGACCCGCAGTCACCCGTGATCAAATAAGTCTTCAATGTCCTGGGGCAGATGCTATCTGGAATACTTGTAGCACTCATACATGTGGCTCAATACATAATTTTAAGGATTTTCGGGAATTTATTTGAAGTTGTAAACTGCAACTTCGGCCAGAAACGACGTTGTGAATCGATCACCGAGCTGGCCGAACGTCCCGGCAATTGCCGGATAACGATCGCCCAGCTCTGATTACGATCTCTCTCTTCTTCCCACCACAGCACGACTGCTCGTCGGCCCCAGAACTTGTTCTGGGGCTTCTCTGACTTGTTTTCTTGATTCTCCTTCGCTCTCATGGCGCGGTTTGGCTCTGCGCCGGCCGCTGCGCCCGCGGATACATTCCGGGGCGCATTCTGGTGTTCGTCTGCACGACGGCACTAATTCGACGACCCTCCGTGACGCGTAAGCCCTCGAGATGAGGCCGCCATACTGTTGATCAGCGGGCGCATGCGCTTAGCCGTCGAATTCGCGCCGCCTTGCTGGATTTGCGCCCTTGGATGCGTTCCGGGGCGCATTCTGGTGTTCGTCTTCGCGACGACACCACAGCGACGTGGATTCGGGATGCCCAAGCCCTCTGAACGAGGCCGCAGGACTACTGGAGGATCTGGGCGGACTTGCAGCCTCTGCCTCGCCGCTGATTCACGATCTTCGTGTGAAGGTGCGTATTTACCATATCTTTTTTTTCTTTTCTCATTGTCGTGCAGTCTGTCCTCACGCCACGCTCCCGCCGTCTCCTTACCCGCGCCATTTTGTCACTCCCACCACCATCACCGCCATCACACCTGCACGGACTCTCTCCCCCAACCGTCTCCCCGCCGTACTCATGTCTTGACCCTTCCCTGTCGTTATATACGACAGGGTGGGCTCGCCTCTGTACTACATCGTGCTCGTCGATTCCCCCCGTGCAATTGCCTGGGGGTCGTCGGCGCGCACGAAAAAACAGTACAAAGTGCTCGCAAGTCGAGTCGGTGCCCGACCAGAGTGCGTACTTCGGACACGGGGGCATGGGGTGCAGTGACGGGTGACAAGGGTCTCGGGTGACCCGTACTCCGTGGGTCTATGGGCGGGTGACCCGCACCCGTACTGGCGGGTCGGGTAAAGTCGCGGGTCGGGGTCGGGGTCATGATTAAATACCCCCGGCCGACCCGGGCTGTTCACTAGATGGGGATGTGAGCGGATGACGTGGGCGGATGTTGATGGGCGGCACATGGTGTTTGGGCAGTTGGTGCCGAGACCACGCTGTTCTCGGAAGGTGCCGAGGATAGAGCGCCCACCGACGCCCGACTAGATACCCGCCTGAGGACAGTACTTACAGCCTTCTCAAGTTCACGCTTTAAAGGACATTTATTCAACCCCGGAGGATACACGGGAGGGGATCAAATTTGATCAGGTCATGGGGTACCGTACCACATCAAATCTGATCGCCCAATTGGGACACCTTGGTGCGGTCTCCTGTGGGAGCAAGGAGGGCGTCAAGCAAACGCACCAAGAGCGGGCTGGACATGGGGATTTAAAATAGATTGACAAGCAGTGAGCGTTATCAGAAGGTTGAGTTAGACAAGTAGAATGCGTCAATGCCGGGACACTATCGCCGTCTTCACACCAGCCTCCCAACAATACCGTTTTGCCGGTTCACGAGTACAGTTCCTTTCGCAGATCTCCGTTTCAAAAGATGTGTATCCGACGCGCCAGTGGTACCTTCATGACGCAGACGGTATTCTTGTATGCCACGAAGCTTGAAATTGACGCCGGAGTTGAGCGTTCATTGCCATTTCGGGTAGATCCCGCCTCTTGGCATTTGCAGTGCTCACTTGTCTGGAACCTCCATCTCGACGCACCCTTCAACGATGCCTTCTGCCTTGATACTCCTAGCCGACGGAACAGAGGAAATGGAATTGTATGCCTTACTGTGCAGCAGACCGCTCTACACGTACTAAATCGAACAACACCAGCACGATCACCTACGACACCTTTGTGCGCGCAGGGATCCAAACGCAGTCAGTCTTCGTGCCGAACCTCGCAAACAGCCAGGCGGCGGGATCTGTATCGCCTCCCGCGGCGAAAGGCTCGCGCGGCATCAACATCATGCCTGACATGTTCTTCGATGCCTCTGCCTGCAGTCCCGTGTGCATTTCCTTCGTCGACGTCACGCACATCTTCTCACAGGGTTTGAACTAGGACAAATACGACGCCCTCGTCATCCCCGGCGGCGCAAAGGGAGCCGAAACCATGTCTAAATCTTCAGAAGTCCAGAGCCTGGTCAAGGCGTTTATCGAACAGAAGAAGTACGTCGGCATGATCTGTGCTGGTAATCTAAACTCTTCTCCGCTCCTTTGGTGATCTACACTCTGAATGTCGTTTGCATAAAGGAAGCCTCGCTGCGTTGACCTCCGGCCTTCCAAAGCAACCCTTGACCTCCCATCCCGGAGTCAAGGATAAACTTGTGAACGGTGCGTTCATCGCGTCCTCAACCGGCGCTACAGAATCTTAACTTCACATAGATTTCGAGTACTCAGAGGAGCCTGTTGTTGTCTCTGGTACTTTGGTGACGAGGTCAGTCGCAGACATATTCACGTATCCCATCCCATGCTGAGGCCCATTTTCGTAGTCGCGGCCCAGGTGCGTTTTTGAATCTGTAGATCGTTCTGTTTTTCGAGTTTTCGACGATTTTAGGAACGACTTTTCCCTTCGCGTTGACAATGGTCGAACTGCTATGCGGAAAAGAGAAGCGAAAGGAAGTGCATGGGCCCATGGTCTTCCCAGCGGGTACACCTTGGTGAATGAGTGGAGCAGGCGAGCTCAATGTAATGGTAACACGCAGTCTGAACAAAAACCTGTAACTCTACCACTGGCCTGTACAATCAGTATGATCTTCTTCCCGTGGATGCAATATTGTGTACGGAAGAGGTCATTGATGCACGAATTGTTCTCAAGGGGGTGAGCTTTGATTGACGTCTTACATCCCGTTAAATATTTGACCAGCTTTTAGAGCTGCAGGCACATGCTTATGGGGCGTGGAGATGGCGGGACGCAGCGGGCTGAGACGGGAGTGGGAAGCGCTGCGGTTAGAGGGTTCTCAGAAAACGAAACCAGTTCAACCATAGCCGCATAAAATTGGCTCCGCTTGTTTTAGAGCTGAGGACGAGAAAATGCGCCACATCAAATCACGTGGGCAGTTATTGGTGGTTAAAAACCTCACCTAAAATGCCCACGGGGGATTGAATCTTGATCGTAGCTCTGCTTCAGAAACACAAAAAAATCTCATGGACATCGTATGGGGACACCCAGGATTGAACTGGGGACCTCCAGAAGACAACACTAAGGCCAAAGGAAAGGGACTTCAGTCTGTTGCTCTCCCAACTGAGCTATGTCCCCGCTAAGGCAGTATTCCTCACCCTCTCACGTGTCGAAGAGCCTCAAAATTTGTATGACTTAAAACTTTTCCTATGGATAATGATTACACAGGTAAGTTCCTAGACTCGAACCAATCAGTCGTTCAACTTAAGGTAGAGAAGGAACGAGTCCCCGTTGCCCGTGGATGTCCAAGTTGCAGGACGGCCAAAATTCCCGATGAAAGACTGCTGTAATTCACGGAATCAGAAAAAAGTCATCCACTATTATAAAATCTCTACCTTCAATGAGCACAATTGAGTTCCCATTCAACTGCGAACTGCGAAAACCACATTACTGCCTCCAACGTTTGCAGCCAATTCCGACGTGACCCGTATAGCAAGGTCCATCCCCTCGTCAAGCAGCGCGTTAAAAACGAACCGTTCCGCTTCACTGAAGATATGTGGGACGAAACTCCCAGCTGCCCGATATATGCTATCCTTCAGATGCTGTGCCTGCACAGAAAAGTGGCATGTCCTAAGCCTTGTCAGTCCAATCGTATCGTCCCCTTTCCAGCGCGCCTTCAGCGTAGAAGCAAAGCTGCCGACCGGCCCAAAATAGAGTAGGACCAATGATTCACGGTGATCATGTATTCGAATGTCCAGAGACGAAAGGAGGGGTAGAAAGGTGACAGTTTTCGTCGGTACGACCTCGAGCGATTTCACGAGCATCACTATTTCTTCCCGGTCGCTAGCATCCGTCTGATCGCCGTACGCCTGTATGTATATAGTCAGCTTGAGGAAAGCGAGACTATGTGTCTGCGAAAGGATAGAATGGAGGGTACGGTCCGGTGAGGCGGCAAGTGGCACACCAGCAAGTGAGAGGCAAGTGAGAGTGCTCACACCATTGGAACGAATAAGTAGTTGTTTAAATTGATAAAGGCAATCGTAGTGAGCCGTGGCAGGGTCAGGATGAAGGGAAGCCTCCCGTAGAAGAGGAAGCGTGAGAGCAACGGGCACCGACGTGGCATTGAGCTTGCACGCATTTGAGGAGGTGATCGGCGAGTCGTCGTCATCATCCGGATCCCAGTAAGGTGTAGAAAGGATCTCAAGCGACGGACACTGTCCAATCAAACGTATACATGCCCTGCGCTCCTCCTCGTCACCATCACAGTCCATACAAGAAAGGTCTAACTCCGTGATTTGATCCCACGGAAATTCAACACCCAGCATACCTCCACCAAGAGTCAATTTCGTAAGACGAGGACAGTCTTTGAAGACAGACACCGCTGAGTGTTCCTCAAGCTCGAGCGGAGCACAATAAAGGCCCACGGCCTCAAGGCGAGGAAGCCGATTATGAAGTGACGCGTAAAGCATATTCAAACCCCCTCCCCAGTCCGATAGATGTAACACCCGCCACCGGTACGATTCTGCCAGGACGACGTCGAAGATGCGCTTTAGAATCGAGGGATTAGAGGTTTGAGTATCTGATACGTGGTCGCTCAGAGATACGTCTAGTAGTCCCTGACGGGAACGCTGAATGACTGCCTCCAAGCGCTGCACATCTCCTTCATGCTGCGCCGCTTCCGGAAAACAAATATCCATAGTCGACCAACACGAATGAAGGGATAAAGCGATGTTTCGCCATCTCTGGCAAACGTGGCTGAGCTTCCATATGGACCCAGATGCGTCAAACGCGTTGGAAGTGGAGGTGCTGGAAAGCATGTGTAGGAATATCTCAGACCAGATTTCCAAGGGGAGAGTGCGATGCAAGGAAATGAGGTTGCTGTACTTCTTCCGGACGTTTATCAACCTCTCTCGCTCTTCCTCCATCGACCTGATGACCTCATGAAGGGATGCGACTTTGGAATCAATGGATGATATGTCGTCGCAGACAGTGGGTAAGATGGTGTGTCGGACGTGCGAGATCTCCTCGTCCGTTGCTGGGAAATTCGAGGTACGAAGTCGCTCAAGAAGCACAGAGCTCTGGTAGTCCTGTTCATGGTGGAGACTCCGTCTGGTGAAAGCGCCACAATTTGGGCATTGAGACGCGATCTGCTGCATCCCGGACGCAGACTGAATCGAACAGCAGAAAATTTGCCCACTAAAGGAAATGGTAAGGACGTGTTTTTTAAGGCGTAAACACGCACCTATACGCCTTATGGGCTGGCAGGTTCCCCACACTGATAGACGGATCGAGCGAACGCGTCGGAGAACCTAATGACGCGGATGAAGATGGTGGTTGGGAAGAAACCCTTTTCAAGCTTTTGTGATCGACCACAGCGACCGAAGCACGTGTCAAGGACTTTGCTTCATCATGTCGACGACTCCGCGCTTGCACAACGGTCCTGCGACACCACAGTCGGAGTGCGATGTGGCGACCGCACAAACCGACCATGGCGAGGAGGCAATGGCCGCCCCTACTGGAACGCCTATCATCCATGATACCCCGCAACGATCGCCCACACCAACTGACGGGCACCACGAGCCTGCTGTAAAATCCCGCGATGAGTCGATCAGGATGATGCTTCTGAAGTACTCTCTGAGGTAGTTGACGCCACGGCCGCTGGTGCACGCCCGAGGCATGGGTATTGCTGGCTCTCACTGTTGCCCAACGAACTCCGTCGGGCTGCGCGTAGACGCTACCCCCCGTATCTAGACCAGTGTCTTGTCGGTATTCTTCGCGATAAATTGGGTCCTGACACCCAGTTGGCGTACACCGTCGCGCATTACGATGTATTCCATTATTTCCATGTGCGTCCGGGTGTCGGGACGACACTTGCGGAGCTGTACTTGTTGATGGACTGCGACTCGTTTGTCGGCGTCGATGTCTCCATGGGTGGTGACGATTTGGAGAAGTTCCTAGTTGAGGACCTCCAGGGTAGTGCCTCTCCGTCAGGTTCTGATGACTCGGTCTCTACCTCCTGGGCCTTCCAAAACAACCCTTGACCATCCTTGACCTCTCATCCTGGAGTCAAGGATAAACTTGTGAACGGTGCGTTCACCGCGTTCTCAACCGGCGCTACAGAATCTTAACGGACACGGCTTCGCATAGATTTCGAGTACTCAGAGGAGCCTGTTGTTGTCTCTGGTACTTTGGTGACGAGGTCAGTCAGACATATTCACGTATCCCATCCCATGCTGAGGCCGTTTTTATAGTCGCGGTCCAGGTGCGTTTTTGAACCTGTAGATCGTTCTATTTTTCGAGTTTCCTTCGATTTTAGGAACAACTTTTCCCTTCGCGTTAGTAACAATGGTCAAACTGCTATACGGGAAAGAGAAGCGAAAGGAAGTGCATGGGCCCATGGTCTTCCCAGCAGGTGCGCCTTGGTGAATGAGTGGAGCAGGCGAGCTCAATGTAATGGTAACACGCAGTCTGAACAAAACCTGTAACTCTACCACTGGCCTGTACAATCAGTATCTTCTTCCCGTGTATGCAATATTGTGTACGGAAGAGGTCATTGATGCATGAATTGTTCTCAAGGGAGTGAGCTCTGATTGACGTCTTACATCCCGTTAAATATTTGACCAGCTTTTAGCGCTGCAGGCACATGCTTATGGGGCGTGGAGATGACGCGGCGGGCTGAGATGGGAGTGGGGGCCGCTGAGGTTAGAAGGGTCTGAAATCAGTTCAATCATAGCCGCGTAAAATTGGCTCCGAGAGTTCGGGACATAAATTCCGAACCGAGGACGAGAAAATGCGCCACATCAAATCACGTGAGCAGTTTTTAACGCTGACCGCGGGGATTATGCTAGTAGCTCTGCTTCAGAAACACAACAAAAAAAATCTTATGACCACTTATTGGGGACACCCAGGATTGAACTGGGGACCTCCAGAAGAGAAAATTTAGGTTGACTACCCGAACTTCAGTCTGTTGCTCTCCCAACTGAGCTATGTCCCCAATGATGCACTATTCTTGTCACCTCTCCACAGGTCGAAGGGCCTCTAAATTCAAAACTTTTGAATTTAAATTTTGCTTGGGTGGCGCAGTAAACCGTAGGTTTTGATACACCTCGGGTTTACCGCAGTTTTTAACGGTATCAATACGGTATCGAAACCTCGGCTGAGGTATTGGTACAGTTTCGATACCGACACGTGACAAATTCACGTGATGGCGCGGTGGCGCTCAGGCAAGCTGAAAGTGGTGGGATAAGGGCGGAGGACGGCGGAGCGGTGCGCCACATCACGTGGTCAAAGCACGTACCGGTATCGAAACCGTTACTAACGGTTTCAAAGCCAGGACCTCCGGGGGTCAGTATCAATAACACCCCCCCGGAGGTTTACTGCGCCACCCTAAATTTTGCTCAAAAAACTCGAAAAAAATGGTTCAGCCCGTGATCGAAACGGGGACTTTGTGTGTACACGATGTGAGACACAAATCATAACCACTAGACCACTGAACCATACAGATTGTGCCTCACTGCTCGTCCTGTCCATTTTCGCTAGTATCTAATTCAATTCTTTATCCTCAATTTATGCGCACCGCCACATCTGGGAGCCACTAAACAAAGAGCTAAGACGTAATCCAATTAATTGGTAGATAAATCCGTCCAATATGTACATAGCAATCGTCGTAATTTACATGCAACGTGCCCGCACGTTGCCTCCCCCATCTATGCCTCAATAAAATACCGAACAAATCGCCTCTTCTCTACGATAGTCGCAGGCGAATCCCTCAGAACAACGGGTGCCAGAACAGCTGCTATAGAAGAGTCAACACTCGATACGGAAAATCTGGACGAAATGCAGACCAATCATCCTCGCCTTATCCTCCTCTTGCTGCACGATATAATGAAGGAACGCCGTCACTGAAATCCACACATTGACGTTCACGATCGGGAAGGCGTCCAAAACCTGATACATCCTTTCAGCCAGTTTCCATAGAGGACTAGAAAGCGACACACCTCGAATGCTTCCTCACGACTGTATACATCGCCGATTTCAACATGCTCGGGGACAAGATTATCAAGCAACTCCAGCAAAATCATGCCATACGCTTGTGGCGGCAATCCAGATGGAAAAGCAGTGTTCGTGTCCAGGCACTCTCGAACAGCGGAAGCCGCATCTTCGAGAGTTGGTGCTGGTGCTGGTGGGGTTTTCATGACGGAGGCTGGCACACTACCAGCTTTCGAAAGTGTTGATGCAGAGGCGGGCGAGGTCATAATAGATGAAGTAGTCGGACTCGTAGAGGGCTCAGGACTCTTGAGGGACGAAGCGCGCAAACTTGAAGTGAGCTCCGAAACCGAGGCTTCTTCGTCATATCCCGTGGTCTCTTCTTCCAGCTCGGTGAACGCCTCAATGAGCCGATTATCCATCATCCAGTTTACGAGGCGCATCACCTCCCGGGGCGCATTGAGATTCTGCTTCGAGTTGCTCTGCCCCCAAGTCGTTCGTATAGGACCTGGGAGCGCCGTCAAGTTGACAAGAGGGATCCCAATACAAGAAGGTTCTGAGATTGTGACTGAACTTCCGATTGACAAGTGGTAGAAACACAAGCACGTACGATAGTCGCCCTCGACAACGATGAAGCGGTCCTTGCCTAAACCAGGACCAGTGTGCAGAACAAGCGTACAGTCGAGGTCACGCATGTAATGTGGCGTGCGCTCATCGACGTTGATTGTAAGTGTGACATCCAACGGTTGGTAAGGTAGTAATATGCCCTGAATGTTTTGTCGAAGAGGTATATCCCAAAGGAGAAAATGGACTGACGGTGACGGGTTGTAGGGTAAGCCAAGGCGGAGCTACGTACGAGCGATAAGTAAATGCCTGACTTGATGAAAGACGTACATACAGATGTCACCTTCAGGTGTCGGCGGCACAAACCGAAACACGCAAGGATTCTTTCCATCGTTGCGTAATCGCACCGTTCTCGTTATTCTCTGTTTGTACCTACACACTGCCGTCAATTTAAATGACTTCTTGAAGAGAGGAGCGACATACCGGACGTTCCCAATGCTCACTTCCTCCGGTTCTACGCCCACCTTTCTACTTTCCAGGTCCAATCCTTGCAGTTGGCGGTAGAGGCTCCTAGCGGTCGTGAGCCCATGCCTTCTCATTATAGATGTCTACCTAGGAAGGAGTTTAGGTGGTTTACTGAAGCGCTAAGATCACTTCCAACCTCTAGTGTGAAGTCGGCCGACACAGGCCGGTGGTCACTCATCGTAATTTGGGCGTGGCTGGTATACGTGTGCTGCTTAAGCGTGACTGCAGGACCAACGAGATTGAGGATACGATCTGTCCACGCCGGTTTGCGCCTGTGGACGGAATGAGTGAAGAGACAACGGGAAGGTATACACAAAATCGTACTTTATGTCGTATCCCAAAGAATCAGTTAGAACGCCAGGGCTATAGCGGTAGGAGCTAGATATCCAACATTAATCTTTGTCAGAAGAGACAAGACACTGAGTATACGCACGGGGGATGGGTTATCGGATGCTCAGAAAAATGATCAAATGCCTGCCCAGATTGCATAGCATTTCTTAGCTGGAAGTTTATCGTCAACGGTGCTTAAGCATCCCGAACGCCACAAACCTGGTCATAAGCCATCAATGCATTGAGGTTCTTCTTCCGTGCCCAACGATGTTGATCAGCCTCGAACAACAGTTCACGTACATCGCCATCCGGCTGATCAACTCGATAATTCAAGTCACCCTAAAGGAATCAAGACTCGTCCGAACACTGAACTCGAAACAGGCAACTTACCATCCAGAAGACAACATCACTCTCCCAGATAGTCACGCCCGACTCAAGACCGAAAGTCAGTCGCTTTGCTAAATCGGCAAAGTCACTATTCCTCTTGTCGACCATCTCATCAAACGCTGCGAGATGACTGTTCACGAAGGTGAAGACTGTCCCACCAGATTCACTGGCGTCATCGCCCGATCCCCCTTATAAACGACTTGCACCGCAGTTCCGCCCTTGTTCCCCATCACACCCATAATGCCCACACCGGCAACAGAAGTCCTAACATCGGCGAACCTGTGCGCAATAGCTTTCCGAACGATCACGACAATCAGAATCCCGACAAGCTGCTTTGAGGCCAGCTTGGTGTATTCGGATTGGTGCTCGCCCAACGCAGCAAAGACAGCGGTACACCACGCATCCTCTCTAACCGTGCTGGTGGAGTAGATTAGGGCCTCTGTAGAAAGGTCGAGTTCCTGAAATCCGAGAACAAGGATGTCGGGAAGTTCCTTGGGCGCCACAGAGACCGCGGTGGAGGTCGATGCTATCGGTGGAGTGTCGACGGTGCTTAAGGAGGAGTTAGTGGAGGCTATCAGGTATGATTAGTCTCATTGAAGATATTGTGAAATTGCTTACACTCCAGCGGGTCTTTCTCGTTATCTAGAATCGAAAAAGGTGATAACTCCTCTAATGGTGGAATGAGATGACTACCAGTGTAATCTGACGTTCCCCGGACCCATGAGACGAGATCTTGAGAAGGTGTTTGTCCGTTGACATTGAAAGTGCCGACTCGGATGTTTAACTGGGCGCGTCCCTTACGCGTCTGCTCTCGTGCTTGAGTACGAACCCAATCA